ATTTTTCAAAAGAAGACATTTATGATGAGGCCAACAAACATTTGAAGAAATGCTCATCATCACTGGTCATTAAAGAAATGCAAATCAAAACCACACTGAGATACCATCTCACGCCAGTTAGAACGGTGATCATTAAAAAATCTGGAGGCAACAGATACTGGAGAAATAGGAACACTTTTACACTGTTGGTGGGAGTATAAATTAGTTCAACCATTGTGGAAGACAGTGTGGCGATTCCTCAAGGATCTAGAACTAGAAATTCCATTTGACCCAGCAATCCCATTACTGGGTATATATCCAAAGGAGTATAAATCATTCTATTATAAAGACACATGCACACATGTTCACTGCGGCACTGTCTACAATAGCAAAGACCTGGAACCAACCCAAAGGCCCATCAGTGATAGACCGGACAAGGAAAATGTGGCACACATACACCATGGAATACTATGCAGCCATAAAAAACGATGAGTTTGTGTCCTTTGTAGGGACATAGATGAATCTGAAAACCATCATTCTCAGCAAACTGACATAAGAACAGAAAAATAAACACCGCATGTTCTCACTCATAGGCGGGTGTTGAACAATGAGACCACATGGACACAGGGACGGGAGCATCACACACTGGGGTCTGCTGGGGGAGAATAGGGGAGGGACAGCGAGGGGTAGGGAGGTTGGGAAGGGATAACAGGGAGAAATGCCAGATACAGGTGACAGGCGGATGGTGGCAGGAAACCACGTTGCCATGTATGTACCTATGCAACAATCCTGCATGTTTTACACATGTACCCCAGAACCTAAGTGTAATAAAATATATATAATCTCTCTGTGTCCATCTCGTGAGCATTTATTCTCACTTCAATGTGACGGCTTTCAACAAAAAAGGAAGAGACCTCTGAAGTCAGAACTGTACAAACATTAGTGGGCTGCCATGGGAGAAAGTTGCTCATCCTTGGAATTGTTCAATAATAAACCAGATGCTTGATTCACAGCAAAGAAGTAGACAATTCAAATGCAAGTCAGGCAGTTGAACCAGGTACATGTCAGACTTCTCATTTTAAGTTCCGATTCAAAGATAATAAGTGGTCTACTGAAAAATCCCTATTAAATGTTAAGTTTTGCATAGCCAATAACTAGATCCTTAGATACATCTATGGATTTTTCCTTATGATGGATATAAACTTACAGGCTATATGCCTGTCATCGAATTGGAAACAAACAGCTTTGAAACTCAACTAAATGAACTGAAATAACGCACAGGGATCCTCTTCTTCATGTACACCCCAAGATAAAGCCAAACAGAGGCTGCAAGCTCCAACTATGTTAGAGCAATTAGGAACTCTCGCCCACACTCTGGTTTCACATTCAAATGATAACCAGAGGTAGAAGTAGTACTATCTGCATTTCCTCATGAACGTATCCAGCCTATTCAAGGTAAAAGCACGTATGACTAGAATTCTTCTCAGAATATGCCTCAATCAATTATACAAACAAGTTACTTTTTGTTTTTTTGAGACGCAGTCTCGCTCTGCCCCACAGGCTGGAGTAAAGTGGGGAGATCTCAGCTCAATGCTGCAACAACCTCTGGGACTCAAGAGATTCTCGTGCCTCAGCCTCCCAAGTAGCCGGGATGACAGGCCTGCGCTACCACACCTGGCTCATTTTCATATTTTAGTAGAGACAGGGTTTCATGATGTTGGCCAGACTGGTCTCAGGCTCCTAGCCTCAAGTGATCTGCCTGCCTTGGCCTCCCAAAGGGCTGGGATTATAGGTGTGAGCCACTATGCCAGGCCAAACGAGTTACTTTATTTTCTCAATAGATGTATCTTTTAGGAGTTTCATCCAAGTTTGTATGTATTTGATGAGACAGTGATAATTGCTATAACCTCAAGCTGTATTCCCACTGTGAATTTTCAAGATGTATAATAATCATCCCAAAGTTTAGAGGACAAAGGCTCTGTCATAATATTTCAATTAATATAAGCTAAAGTATAGCTTTCATGTATACTGTTCATTGTTTAACACAAGGGAACTCTTCAATAAATGGTTAGCAAAGTCAACTTTCAGGATAAATGGTGTATGTATATGATGAGTAGGTAAACTGAGAAAAGGATACACCTAATGTATTATCTCTTTAAAAGAAAATTTATTTTTTAAGATCTAAATTTAGGATCTAAAACAATATGTCTTGTATTTATGGTGTTCTTAATTGTTCACTAACTTTCAATAATTAAAAAAAAAACAGCACTGACTAAATACAACAATGATCCTTTATAACTACACTGTCTCTAAAGAAAGTTACTTTTATGGTTATCTCATGCTACAGTTCCTAATAAGCCAAGAATTATTCTTTGTAAAGTAAGAATAATGCTCTTTTGTTTGAAACCATATACAATCCAATAGTAATAGAATGTATTTGAAGACCTAAAAAAGGATTTTTTGTGTATATTTGTCTCTTTTCCTAAATTTGCATATTCCAAGTTAATAAAACATTTCTTAACAATTAAAATGATTTTGTTTTAAAAACATTTTTGGAATCCTATAGCTCTAGTTTATTTTCCATTCATCAGTGTCATACAAATTTAAGTGGATACTAAATCTATAGGTAATTTTTTTAAAAACCAAGGAAGGTAATTCAAAAATCCAGTCTTAATAGCCCCTTCCTTTTGTCACACTCAGTATGGACTTTAATTAGAAAAACTTATGACATATGACAAACCTACAGCCAACTTCTTATCAAACAGGGAAAAGTTGAATGCATTCCCTCTAAGAACTGTAACAAGGATGCCCACTTTCCCACTCTTATTCTAAATTCTAGCCAGAGCAATTAGGAAAGAAAAAGAAATGAAAGGCATCCAAATTGGAAAAGAAGAAGTGAAATTATTCCTGTTTACTGATGGAATGATCTTATTACATACAGAAATCCTTAAAGACTCTACTAAAAAATTTTAGATTTGATAAAAGATTTCAGGGCAGTTTCAGAAAGCAAAATCAATGTGCAAAAATCAGTAGCATTTCTATACACCAATAAAAATCTAGCTGAGAACAAGATCAAGAAAACAGTCTCACTTACAACAGCTACAATAAATAATAAAATGCCTAGAATATATTTGACCAAGGAGGTGAAAGATCTCTACAAGGAAAACTATACAATGCTGAAAGAAATTGTAGATGACACAAACAATGAAAAAAAACACTCCATGCTAATGGATTGAAGGAATTAATATCACTAAAATGACCACATTGTCTAAGCAATATATAGATTGAATGTAATTCCTTTCAAAATACCAGCATCATTTTTTCACAGACTTAGGGGAAACAAAAAACAAAACAAACAAAAAAAACAATTAAAGTTCACATGTAACCACAAAAGAGCCTGAACAGTGAAAGCAATGTTGAGCAAAAAAACAAATTATACTACAAGGTGATAATAAACAAAACAGCATGATACTGGTATAAAAATAGGTACACAGATCAATGGAATGAAATAAAGAACCCAGAAACAAAGTCACATATTAACAGCCAACTGATCTTTGACAAAGCCAAGAAGAGCATGCACTGGGGAAAATCTACCCTTTTCAATAAATGGTGCTGGGAAAATTGGATTGCCATATACAGTGTAATGAAACTGGACTCCTATCTTTCAGCATGTACAAAAACCAACTCAAAATGGATCAAAGACTTAAGACCTCAAACTATAAAAATATTAGAAGACAATCTAGGCAAAATTCTTTTGGACACTGATCTAGGCAAATAATTCATGACTAAGACCTCAAAAGCTCAGGCAACAAAAACTTTTTAGTTTAATTAAGCTTACTGCTTCTGCGCAGTGAAAGAAATAGTCAACAGAGTGAACAGATAATCTGTAGAATGGAAGAAAATATTTGCTAACTATGCATTCTTCTGGAGACTCATATCCAGAAGGTCAAACAACTGAATAACAACAACAAAAACCAAAATAATCCCATTAAAAAGTGGGAGAAGGACATGAATAGACATTTTCAAAAGAAGACATACAACTAGGCAACAGACATATGAAAAAATGCTTAATATCACTAATCATCAGAGGAAACTCAAGTTAAAACCACAATGAGACATTATCTTTCACCAGTCAGAATGGCTATCATGAAAAAGACAAAAATAGTAACAGATGGTAAGACTGTGGAGATAAGAGATCACTTACATGCAGCTGGTGGGAATGTAAACTAGTACAACCTCTGCTGAAAAACAGTATGGAGATTTCTCCAAGAACTAAAAATAAAACTACCATTCCATCTACCAATCTCATGACTGACTACCCAAAGGAAAAGAAATCACTATCAAAAAGATGCTTCCACCTGTATTTTTATTGTAGCACTATTCCCAACAGCAAACATACAGAATCAACCAAAGTGTTCATCAATAAATGATTGAATAAAGTATAATACATATACGCAATGGAATAATAGCCATAAAAAATGAAATCATGTCTTTTGCAGCAATATGGATGGAAGTGGAGGCCACTAACTTAATTGTCATAAGTCAGATACAGACAAATACATGTTCTCAGTCACAAGTGGGAACTAAATAATGTTTACACATGGATGCAGAGTGTGGAATGATAAGCAGTGTAGACTCAGAGTATGAGGGAGTAGGGGGTGGATAATGAGAAACTCCTTAATGGGCACCATTGTAAGTTATTGGGGTGACTGTACACCCTGAAAGCCATGACTTCACCATTATGCAATCTAATGCAACAACATTACACTTTTACCCCACAAATTCATACAAATAAAAAATAAACACTTTGATAACTTGTAATACCAGAGGCAGTACAATTAGACAGCAGTTCTACACCTTAAAAATAATACATATAAAATAAACATTAATATTTTTATGTACATACATGCACATATCATATACGCACATATATTTACTTTATAGATTCTATCAGGTGAGAACTTTAAAATTTCTTGGAATAAATGAAAATGAAGCAAATGACAAGGAAAACATCCTCTTACCTGGTAGATATCAGAAAGACTGCTGCTTCCAGAATCACTAGTGATACTACATCCTGAATGGCTAGAAGAAACGTGGGTCACCTGTGGGTGGAGACTGTCAGTAAGATGCAGTTTTGTGAAATCTGCAGGAAGCTATGGAAGGAGCAGGAAAAACTAGGATTACAATGTGAATCAAGAACTCCAAGAAGCCATTTTAAAATTAAAATATTGTATTTTATTCTATACCATTGAACTAAAAATGGTATTCGTTTTCCAAATCCACAAATTACTAAATTATGTCCTATCTACCAAAAATCACATAATAATTTTTAAAGTGTATGGGGACATAATGAACCTTAAATAACACTAAATTCTTAAAAAGGTGGGTATGGTGATTAAGATAAACTTGAGTATTTAATTTAGTAAGCTAACATTTTCCAATCACACATCAATGAGCAAATTAGGCTACTACTATTTATTAGCCAGTACAATGCAACTTTGTGGCACAAAGCATTTTGAACACAGATTTAAGCTTCTTCTATACCCAAATGATGTTTAAAGGTTAAAAAAAGAGAGAGCATCTTGGAATCGATGAAGTGTACTGTCACACAAGCAACTGAACTAGGCTCTATGAAGAGAAACGAATGCCATCAAAGAACATAGAATTGAAAAAGTTATGGACAACATTTACCTATCTGTATTCATATACATAAATATCAATTATCTACATGTTCATGTTTAAATAAAAATAGTCTCTATGAAAATAAGCACATTTGCTAAGCATCCCTTATCCCTTCTACCACCCCTCATATACCAGAGAAAATGCATTAAAAAAAAAAAAAACACTAATACATTGGTTTATTTGACAAATACTTACTGAGCCCCTTTTCTCTTATTATGCCCTAGACAAGTGAGAATCTAAGAAAACAGATGTGAGATTCTTAGAATCTTACACTCTTATTAGTTATTGCTAATTCTTTTGAATTAAAAATATTTTTATCTATATCATATATTATACTCCTGAGCTAATAATAAAAAGCATTTCAAAATACATATTAACTAGCATCATAAAATACTGATAACATTCCCTCTTTCTTGCATATTGATCCTATTTAGCTGGTGAGAATAGTTATAAATATAGGGACTAATTATTAAAATTTAAATAAACATTAACCTCAGTAACATCCCCGTCTACCTTTTGAGGTTCATTCCCTCTCCCCCTCCAAAATGTTACTGCATAGTTTAGAGTAAGCCTCACAAGTGAGACAGTTTGGACTTAGGACAATGATTAATGGATTTTGGTACTTCAGTGCTCCAAGTAGGCAAAATGCATTTATATCCCCTAATAATTCAGACCTACTCTCTGAATAGATTATAACCTTCTCTACCTTAAGTGAACTATATTTAACAATATTTACATACAATCTATTTAGAAATAATAACTTTATGGGATACAAGGCATATAAATATAAATTTAATAGGGGCATATAATTAGATGCCAAATAAATGGAGAAAAATCCATTTGTTGAGGGAGCTTGGAGAAGTGAAATAATCCCAAACCTATCTTACTAACAATCTTTTTAAGGAAACTGGTAATTGAAGATGTTGTAAAATACATAATATGTAAGAGAATAACAACTTCTCTGTAAGGGATAGGCAAATACCTCTAAATTAAGAATTTGTATGGTTCATTCCTAATGTAGAGTAGTGAAATATTTGCAGGACTTCTTCAGGAACAATTCAAAGACAGAAGTTTGCAGATATGTATTAATGACTATGATACATGTAGCTAAATGATGGTGATATTAAAATAAATAATATGTTCATAGGCAGGATAGATACTCTTCACCATCTCAGCTACACTTCCATTTAATTCAGTCACTTACTGCAGAAGGCAACTGGGGAAACACTACTCTATGGCTTAGAGGTGTTAAAAGGCATCAATCAATATATGTAATTAGAGAAAATAAACTGATTTCTATTGATTGTCTTTTACAGGCATGGCTCAGGTTGATGTGCCACATAGTGTGATCTATTTTTTTTAACTTAATGTGTCAAATGAAGATAAAGCTATCTAATGAATTTTTAAATTTTATTTATTTAGGTCTCACAGGACTCTCTTCAGAATCCATCATCTGCGTATCTTCCCTAAGAATTCATTGTCTGAAGAGCACAAGGAACTGTAAGAGCTCCCAACCTAACATAAGAGACATTTATTCAGTTTTTATATACCACAATCTATTCACCTGTGCCTACTTACAGTCACAAATATCAGAATTATATGGAAATGTTAGGCCCAGAACCACAAAGACTGTCAAAAGAGAAAGAAATATTTTTGCTTGTAAAATTTCAATTCTACTTAATAAATACTTATGGAGTACCTGCTATGTCATATACTCTGCCAGGGGAGAGAATATCAAGATGAGTAAGACATTCCTAATTCCAAACCTCTATCATCCCCAAATTCACTGTGACAGGTGTTAGAAACAATAGAAAATAATTTTTTTTTTTTTTTTTTTCATTTTAAAGACAAGGTCTTGCTCCATCGCCCAGCTGGAGTGTAGAGGCACAACCATGGCTCACTGTAGCCTTAAACTCCTGGGCTGAAGTGATCCTTCCATCTCAGCCTTCTGAGTAGTTGGAACTACAGGCACATGCCACCACACCTACCTAATTTGTAAATTTTTTGTAGCTAATAAAGGGGCCTCTCTATGTTGCCCAGGTTGGTCTCAAACTTCCGGCCTTAAGCAATCTTCCCTCCTCCTCAGCCTCTCAAAGTGCTAGGATTACAGGTGTGAGCCACTACATTGTTTTTATCCCTTTCTCCCCACTATCTGTGTTCTTTGCAGAATAGCATGAAATAATGACATATCAGAGTACATGCATATATAAATCAGCATTAATTAAATACCTTTTAATATGAGATGTAAGAATGGATGCCATGTTCAAAAAAAACTTAAAAATATTTTCCCACCAATTAAGATAACAATAGTATTTTTTTTTTCTTTTCTTTTTTTGGGGGGAGACAGAATCTTGCTCTGTCGCCCCGGGTGGGGTGGGGTGCAATGAGGTGGTACAATCTCAGCTCACTGCAACTCCACCTCCTGGATTTAAGTGATTCTCCTACCTCAGCCTCCTGAAGAGCTGAGATTACAGGTGCCCACCACCACACTGGCTAATTCTTTTTTTCTTTTTTTAAGCAGAGACAGGCTTTCACCATGTTGGCCATGCTGGTCTCAAACTGCTGGCCTCAAGTGATCCACCCACCTTGGCCTCCCAAAGTGCTAGGATTACAGGCATGAACCACCTCGGCTGGCATTATTATTAAATTTTATTGACAATACACATCAGTCAAGTTATGGAATGGGAGATGTTATAAAAGGTGTTCTCATAAGCAAAGAAACTGGAATGCACTGATCTGGCTCTGCCATGACACTCTAACAGAATAGAGACCTGAGCCCATGCCTAGTAAAAATGGAGTTTCTAGGAGGCAAACAAACCTTGTTGGGGTTGAGGGTCATGAGGTAGACACAGGTGCAGATGCTCACATTTAAACCCAAGGGCATCAGAGCAACACAGATCTGAGATATATATACAAGAAAGGTACACTATGACAGCAAGGATCACTTACTCTAAACTTTTTTTGAAGCTTGACCCAGTGCCAATTTAAATTACTAAGTATCAGTATGCTATTTAATTAAATTACAGATTAAACTGGGTTGTGAATTATCTTGTGACTGTAGCCACCATTTATAACAGAAATTTTGTTCAAAAAAGTAAAATTTTTTTTGGTAAAGCTAGAAATAAAGTAATTACCTGAATAAAATCAATAATTAATTAAATGAGAAATTAACACATTTTATGTATTTTTAATACCAATGTATTTCCCAACAATTAAGAACACAATTCGAAGGAATTTTTTCACCTACATTTTTCATTTTTATCACTTAAATATTTTTAATATTTGATTGTATAAATACATTACTGCTCAAATATTTTTCCTGGAACAAGAAACCTATAGTCATAAAAAACACTATCTGTGAATCACAATTTTAATAAACTACTCTTTGGCAAATGGTTGAATCAAAGTTTAACTACAAACACTGCTAAATACATAAGAAACAAGGGTAATATTTAAATCAGATTCTTACATCAGACTTAAATCAGATTATGTTAATTATATATTTAAACCAGATTATATTAATTTTAGGTTTATACTTATATGTTTATGCTTATAAACCTAAAATTAATCATAGTTTAATGAAATCTTGGTATCATTTGTATAATAGTTTTTTTTTAATAATGTAGGACAAACAGAGATGCTACCATAATCAGATCTGAAAACATAAACTCTACACATTAAGTTTCTACAATATATAAATAGAAATTTGATAATCACTGATTTATTAATCTAATGGTTGGCATTTATAAAATTATTAGCTAATAAATGAACTTTATCTTGAACATAAAGACAATGAGTATGGATGCCTTGAAGTCTCTGATACCAATCAGAAAATACTCTGTTAAACTGGCAAAATACCTAAAATTGGTAACAGTGTAATGGAGACAAGGGTGGCTGCCCTTCTTCTTCCTTTCCATCCTGAATTACTGATATAATTACTGATATAGCCCAGCATCTGTGGTACCAGATCCCCAAGTGTAGGGGATGAGTTTTGCGGAATTCTATTAACAACAGAGGAATTTTTTTCTCTCTCTTTTTTTAATGTAAGAGTCATAGTCCATGATACATATATATCATCATCATCTTAGGACCGATGAGAAATCCAACAGTTAAAAACAAAAAATACTGTCTACTGACTGAAATGTATTTAATTGTTAATTTCCCAAACTAATCTTGGAACCACTTTAAGTAACAATTACAATAGAATGCACAATGTTTGGGGTGATCACTGGAATCCAGTCAATCTTCCCAGGTTTCTTACCTTGAATAAAACTATTTAAAGTAAATTAAATATCACACTTAGTGACTAAACTAACTTTGTATTAAGATGCATCACTCAGAATTTACCCAAATGAACTCTGGTTTTCCCATTTCATCCTTAGAGTTCTGAGTCTTTATGTTCATGTTTTTAATCTCTACAAGGTAGAGTCAGTATATTACTAGACATACTTTCTATTTTTCTGAGGTATTT